AATTTTGCTTAAACATATATTGGTTTAAAATATTACATTGCACTACCATAAAGGATTTTGTTTTTTAATTTTCGGATTATTTGCTTAAAAATTATCATTTTAGAAAGATCTTTTCTACTATTATTCTCTGTGTAACAGCAGTTAAGGTGAGAGGTGCAATACTATTCAACATTTGAGATGCTTTTTTTATATTAGTGGCGCAGTACTGTTTAATATTTGAGATGTTTTTTTACATAAGAGGTACAGTACTATTTATATTAACATTAGAGGTGCAATACTATTTTATATTTGAGATGCTTTTTTACATTAGAGGTGCAATACTATTTAACATAAGATGTGCAATACTATTTTACATTTAATATTTATGTTTGATATTTGAGATTTTTTTTACATTAGAAGTGCAGTACTATTTAACATTAGAGGTGCAATACTATTTTATATTAGAGGTGCAATACTATTTTACATTTGAGATGCTTTTTTAACACTAGAGGTGCAATACTATTAACATTAGAGATGCAATACTATTTAACATTTGAGATTCTTTTTTGTCGAGCCTGCGACTTTTGTAGCAGAAAGCTCGACATCGGGATAGTAATCCGGCGGCAGCGGAGTTAAATAAATACTTAAAAGCTTTATATTTTAGAAGGCGGAAGACCTGGATGCTTCATACTTTGTATATAGATGCCTTATGATATGAAGTATCCGTCTGTCCTTGACCTCATTTTCATGGTTCAGTGACTACTTGAAAATAAAATTAAGATTGTTTGTAATATTAATTTCTCTCTTATTATGGGTAATAGGATAACTATGTTTAGTATATGCGTATCTTGCAATTAAGGTCCTCATGCCTGTCAGACAGTTTTCATCTGATCTCGACCTCATTTCATGGATCAGTGAACAAGGTTAAGTTTTCGTGGTCAAGTCCATATATCAGATACTGTAAGCAATAGGTCTCCTATATTTGGTGTATGGAATGATTGTAAAGTGTACATGCCCAACTGGCAGGTGTCATCCGACCTTGATCTCATTTTCATGGTTCAGTGGGTAAAGTTAAGTTTTGTGTTTTGGTCTGTTTTTCTTAAACTATATGCAAAAGGTCAACTGTATTTGGTGTGTGGAAATATTTTACGATGTACATGTCGGTCTGGCAGGTTTTATTTGACCTTGAAATCATTCTCACGGTTCATTGTTCAGTGTTAAGTCTTTGTCTTTTGGTCTGTTTTTTCTTAAACGATAAGCACTAGGTCAACTAAATTTGGTGTATGGAATGATTGTAAGGTTTATAGTTCTGTCTGAAAGGTATCATCTGACCTCGACCTCATATTCATGGTTCATTGGTTAATTTTAAGTTTTCATGGTTAAGTTTGTTTCTTAGATACTATCAGCAATAGGTCATCTATATTTGGTGTATGGAATGATTGTAAGTTGTATATGTTTGTCTGGTAGGTATCATCTGACCTTGACCTCATTTTCAAGGTTCATTGGTCAATGTTAAGTTTTCATAATTAAGTTTGTTTCTTAAATCTATAAGCAATATGTCGACTATATTTAATGCATAGATTGATTGAAAGGTGAACATGTATGTCTGACATGGTTCATCTGACCTTGACATCTTTTTCATGGTTTATTGGTCAATGATAAGTTTTCCAGGTTAAGTTTGATTCTTAGAAACTATAAAAAATAGGTGAACTATATTTGGTGTATGGAATGAACGTAAGGTGTACATGTATTCCCAGTTTGGTTTATCTAACCTTGACCTCATTTTCTTAAATCATATTAAGTTTATGTTATACTCGTAGTAAAGCTTTATATTAAGGACTATCAACATAAAACTAATGGTCAGTAAAGCAGGCGACACATTTCAGCGTGTGCACTTTTGTTACATAGAGGTGAAGTACTATTTAACATTAGAGGTGCAATACTATCTTATAGTAGAGGTACAATCCTATTCTAAATAAGAGGTGCAATACTTTTTTTTATATTAGAGGTGTCGGAACTATAACTGTTAATGCAATATTTTTATAAAACCTTAAAGAGATAAAGCTGAATATCAACACTTCACAACATTACACTCTTACCACCGAATTTGCAATTTAAAAGTTTAAAGATTCATTAACGTCACCGTTTGATATCATTTACAAATGTATTAAAACGATTGCCAGGAAATAAAGCAAGTTGTAAGTCTTATTTTAACTTCTGGAAACATTTTCCTATAGTCTTACAACATCTTGACTAAATACGATATCCTGTTACAATGGCAATAATAGGTAGTTGACATAAATTTTGAGATACATTTATGGAACGATATTACTGCATTTTTAATGTTTCTCGACTTCAAGCTAATTGTTTATCTTCAATCTGTATGAACATTGATTCAAAACTATTTGTGAATTGATTTTATTATTATTGTATTCTATTGACGGAAGCAATTTGTAAAGGTACAAAAATAGGACGGATGAAAGTTTCAATACCTAGTGCGCGTTCTCTATCCCTATCACGTAAACGTCACTTTGCAATACTTGTGACTTTCAAAGGTTTCGAAAATGGCATAATGTTTCTCACCGATGACAGCACAAAAAAAGACTAGCCCAACATGTTTGCTTAAAGTTTCAGTCAGTGTTATAGATTTTTAAGTTTTTGTTTATAGCTTCGTCAAGTTAAAGTTGACCTAAATATATAAAAACATAATGTATATATTTCTGTTATGATCTGAAATATTATTTGAGAAATTCTTTTAAAAATATATTATGTTAATTCGTTTGACATTTTTCAGCCTTGTACACCACTTATTTCGACGTTTTGTGGTATTTTCTACCAAGAAAACCACTTCTTTTGATGCATGCCATAAAAACGAATAGGTGACACTGTTATTTGTTTTCCTCCTTTAAACAAAAAATTTTCTCGAGACAACATTGTTTTAACTATAGACTGGGTGTTGTGACAGGAGCTTTGAAGACACATTTTTTGATAGACTTTACATAAATTTTATACAACACCATTACAAACTCAATTTTATATTCTTGTACGTGTCTACAATAAAACAAATCTATTCTATTTTTAGAAATTTACTTGTGATAATATAAACGTCACAAAAAATACGTCACTTTTTGTGGCGTTGATACATTCGTGTGACGCACAGTTTATAATTTGTTTGTGGTGTACTGGTGTGCTGTCGTGGATTCTTGGGAGGTGTCCGTTGTTATTCTGTGGTTTACATGTTGTAATGTACTATTATATTATGTATTTATGTGTTTATCTGTCCTGAGTGTTCTTGCATTTATTTGTACTGTATTCCTGTCACGTAATGTTGTCATTTTAGCGGTATTTTTAACATTGTTATATAAGCGGGAGGTTTAGCTAGCCATAAAACCAGGTTCAACCCGCCATTTTTTCTTAAAATGACCTGTACCAAGTCAGGAATATGGCAGTTGTTACCAAATAGTTCGTTTCTATGTATGTTGGCGTTTGTTTTTGTTGCAGTTCAGTGTTTCTGTAGTTCCGTTGTTTTCCACTTATAGTTGATGTGTTTCCCTCGGTTTTGGTTTGTGACCCGGATTTGTTTTCGCGTAATCGATTTATGAATATTGAACAGCGGTATACTACTGTTGCCTTTATTTATACAAATGTTGAACTATTTCAACAATTTTCTTTGAATAATAGTTTTCAAAGTATGATGGTAAAATTAATGAAAAAAACATCAAATTGTCGTTAAAGTTCAACGAGCCCAATTTGTATGCAAAATTTTACCCAAATCTATCACATAGCCAATTTTCTTTCCCTTGACCTAAAGAGCACCTGTTTGATTTCGTGTTGCGTATGCCCGACATATAAAAAACTTCATTGCTGTTGGTTCAAAAAGAACACAGGGGAAATTTTTTTTCTGGGGTTTATTTCTCGAAAATTAAAATAGATGGAGAAAAATCGTCACTTCAAAACTATCAGCACCTTATGGTCTATCGTTCGTTCTATAGGCCCGACATCGTCGATTGAAATCTTATAGAAGTTTTTTTTTTATCTTAAATGGATATCTTTATACATCATTGGCTTTCAAATATTCGGCTTTCAGCATTCAAGATTAAGGTCCAGAAAAGCGCTTCGGACGTAGGAATATGTGTTTTTTTCATTGTTAAGAATAATAGATATCATATGGAGAAAATCTGCAAAAAGCAAAGTTGATCAGCAAGAGACTATCTACAAATAACTTTACTTTGCTGAAATCGTGTATGGACTCTTGCTATCATCTAAAAATCTATAATCAACTGCACCAGGCAAAATGATTAACAAACCAAGATCTACAAGATCTACAAGTAAGACAACGTGACGGAAATCGTCAAGGAACTCCTTGTTGTCAATATATTGGAATTTTATGCGACTGTCATACATGTGAGAGGTTTAGTTAGCTATAAAACCAGGTTTAATCCACCATTTTTCTACATAAGGAATATGACAGTTGTTTTCCATTCGTTTGATGTGTTTGAGTTTTTGATTTTGCCATTTGATAAGGGACTTTCTATTCTGAATTTTCCTAGGAGTTCGGTATTTTTGTTATTTTACTTATTGGACTAATTGTCTTTACATTATGCGCTATGCCCTTTTTTTGATTTTTGTTATTATTTTTCTTGGAAAATATAGCTGATAAACAGAAAAGATTACAGCAATAGGGTCAGCAAGACAAAAATCTACTATAAGGCAAATGATCGTAATCGTCATTCGACTCTTTATGGAAGTAATTGTCCTTCATGATATTTTGGTAATTATCTTGAAAAGTATAATGGATAAATAGAATCTTCAATGGCAAAAATGATCAGGAAGACATAACTAACAAGATACCATGTGATTGAAATTGTCAACTTACTTCTGATAGACGTAAATACCCTTTAATAACTTTACTATTTTTTTCCGTGACAGGAACTTTCTGATTAGAAAGAAAAGCCAAGAACATCAATTTACACGACGGATATACAACATATACTTATATTTGTTTACAATATAAATACAGATTATTCAAACTATACAATAATTTTAAATTTTTACTTGATAAAAAAATTCTTTACAAAACTGTCTGAACTTCGGATTAAAAATGCTATAAATGATAGCGTTTGGTGCGTTATTGATGCAGTAACTCTTGGCTGCTACCTCTATCATTTGATGTAACAGAAGAATCCCGAATTCCTCTTTCAGTTGGTTTGTTTTAAGTAAGAGTTGTAACGTTAAGTAAGGTACGTAGCTCAAGATAAACGTAACGGTTACTGTTACACATATAAGAGTTGTTTTCACCATCCGAGTGTTCTTCTGATTTCTTGATATCATCTTTATATTGATGGTCTGCGTCTGATTAATAGAGGTATTGAAATTCTCAAAAAAAAAACTGAAACGAGAGTAACATTTAGTGGTATTCTCACATTGTCCATTGTTACCATTATTCAACTGTAAATTTATACGATATTCAACTTTCCGACTGTATAATGCCGACAAAGGGTATGAGCTCAAACTTGAAATAGACGGATTACGATTAAGCCAAAATTTCTTGTCTTGCATATTTCATCTTCAAAATTTCCCACTCTTTTTTCCACCTTAGTTTTGAATAAAATATTCGCCCATAAAGTGTTACTATTAAACTGAAAATACAATAAAAACAAGAAGAAGGTTGCAGAAAAACAAGGTAGGATATATTGTGGTTTTAAGGTTGTCGTCTACCATACAGGATTTAACATGAATGTCAGGAAAAGTGGTCTTCGCAGAATGTTCACCAAACACAAATACTGCAGGCCATCCAAATATCAGTCCTAGACAAACAATAATACCGAGATGAGTAGTTGATTTTGACATGTAGCTTACTTGTAATGGTCTGCAAACTTTGTAAAATCTGTCGATAGTGACGAATACAAACATGAATCCTTCTGCAATATACACAGCCATGCCAACTCCTCGAAAAAATTTACAGGCTACTGCATTAAAATAACATCAACTATGGAAGAGTAACGTAAATATCTCAAAAGGAATGCTTAAAACCCAACATGTTAGATCTATTACTCCTAGAGAACAAATGAAAAAGTTGATGACTTCTTAAACTTAATTTCGTAAGCATATACAACAAGTGTATTACCTATGATACCGACCAGCATTAGAAATCCAGAAAAAATCATAGCTGGAAGACGCCTTTGAAGATGAGTTTCGTTGTAAATCCAAAGAATGATATCTTTGTTTGAAAATGTTGTGTTCAAGGCGTTCATATCATCATTGTTCGTGTAACTTATTTTTGCTCATGTTGTTCATGGCTGAAAAAAATTGAAAAAAAGGTTATTAGATAACTTAAGTGTAATATTGGTGGATTTCTTCCATGGTATATTTGAAATCCTTTCGAAAGTTTTACGGACGTCTTCATAAGTTGGTTATGGACTATTTGCGTGACAAATGACCACTGAATCCGATATGTTTAAAAAAAAATGAAAACAACACGTTATAAGTTTCATACTTCCGAAGCGCTTTTCTGGATTTACCATATCAGCAACGCTCAAATCCGAATATTTGAAAGCCAAGGATGTAGAAGAACCAAAAACAGTTGAAAAGTTATATAACCAAAAAGGACCTAAAAAATTGCCAAATCCATCTACGGTCAACTTTGCCTGAGGGAGTTGAAACCCTTGTTTTTAACAATTTTAATAAATTTTGAAATGGACAATTTTAGAAAGGTTTTTTATAAATCATGTCAGTACCGAAGTACTGACTACTGGGCTGGTGATTCCCTCGGGGACTGATAGCAGATGTATCGACCCAGTGTTGTGGCAAATGAAAACAACACGTTATAAATTTCATGCGTCCGAAGCGCTTTTCTGAATTTACCTTCATCAGGAACACTCAAAGCCAAATATTTGAAAGCCAAGGTGTATAAGAATCTAACAAATTGCCAAATCCATCTAAGGTCACCTTTAACTGAGGGAGTTGAAACCCTAGTTTCAATTATCGTAACCACAATACCGTACTCTTATCCTCGATTGTTATAGCACCGAATGACTTAATATCGAATTTGTACTTACCAGGAGAAACTTGTGAAGCAGGATCTTCTTACCTTTCCGTGATTGCCATGATATTATCAGTTTCTCTTCGACTTGTTAGTTTTGAAGGTCTCCCTTTGTATCTTTTACCTCTTTTTTTATATTTATATCTGTGATAGTCTAAAATATACTAACATCTTATTTTTTATTTCCTCGCCAAGAGACTATGACTTATGTTTAGGTATTATATATAAAACGAAGTAAATCAACTAAATAAGATTTATCTTTACTCACACAAAAATAATAGTGACCTTAAATTAGATATCCGATATTTAACCAATTCTACACATACTACCTTACCTCATGAAAAACATCACCGTTTTAACTTGAACAGATTATTTGAAAGCATCATTTACAAAACAAGGATATTGGCTGATAAACTAATTCTTAAAGAAAAATTTTCAAATGTCGTCATTGCGTCTTATTACTCCAGATAACTGCTGAGAATAATAGAGCAGAGTGGCTCATTGAACATTCATAACAGATAGTATGAATGAACGCACAGGAGATTTGTTCTTCGTTTTACCTTTTATTCCAACAGTTTTATCTAAAGATTAATACTTCATTTACATTTTCTGCATTCGATAAAAGGTCTGGTTAAAATTTCATTTTTTTTCTGACGTCTGATGGCATCATTAGGAACTTGTTTGAGCCCTGTGACTATTGGGAACTTGATTTTGCTTCGGGACTATTAGAGACCGTGGGACATCATAGAATAGTGTATATATAGAAAACATGAAAATAGTTAAATAGGCAAATCATACATCATTCGTTCCCTTATACACTATCCACTTGTGACCAAAGGACAAATTAGGTTAGGTTAAAATGCGGCCTTCGACAACATGGACAACGAGCATAACTCATGTCCGTACGTTTTGTTTCAAAGAAAAACAAGTCAATCGATAAAGGAGAATCAATAAATTTCTTGAAAAACAGGACTAACTCGGGCTGATTCGGTCTTTTCTTGTGTTTATCTCTGCATTAATGAATTGCTCTCTGTATTCTGTCATATTTTTTATATATGTATATACCTTGTTATTTTGCTAAAGCAATGTTGTTGCTCATGCAATAAAGATTCGTTCATTTATTCATTTAATTCAACATAATAAATGGATAAGACAATGTATAATAAATTTACGAGATAGCGCATGTGACTTTTCTTTAGTTTTGTAATTGTTTCCAACCGTCGATTATTGAATGATAAGATTTAGTCTAGACTCGATAATTTGTCTTTCAAATTAGAACCAGAAGTATAAAACATCATAAATTCACTGTTATGTACAACGTTAATCCTAAGTAGCTTTGCAAGTATTCCTATGAAAGTATCTTCCATTCTGATAATTTTTGTACACGGTATGGCATAAGTAAGATTTTTGACTACTTTCATATTCGTGAGTATTGTTCCTCCAGTTATATATGGCGGCCAAAATCGAAAGGATATTCTTCTAAGGTCGTAAAGTATTTCGAAGATTTTGATCGAAACGGTTGTCTAAATCTTAGTCTGTAGCCAATGATTTTACTTTCTGTAGTACCAAGACTATCAACAGCAAATTGATGTAAACGTCTGGTATTAACTAAACGATCATCATCTAGAAAATGCACGTATTTTGTATTTATATTACGTTTCACTAAACAATCGATCGGAATAATCGTTTTATATACTAGACTATCGTATGTGTCAACGAAACAAAACTGGAGAATATCGCCATAATCTTCATTTTCAACGTTTCGAACAGCGGTATACTACTGTTGCCTTTATTTACAATAAAAAACCACATCAAAACTATCACATACTTCACTGCTATAAAACTTTATGGATGGATCTTTCGTAATGTAATAATGTTTAGTTACATTGTTCCATGGCTTTTTTGCAGTCCTACTAGTTGTCTCGATTTCTTGAACAACATCTATTAAGTTGTTTAATCGGAATGTAAACTGGATAAAGTAAAACTTTTCTCCGGTCCAACATCTTCTCAACATCAAAATTACAAGAAGTATGCAAAATATATGCAGCCATTTTTTAATCTGAAAAAAAAAAGAATTCTATGACATTATATGGCATTTCATGATAATTTTACTTTTTTCGTATTTTTTTGCTTTCATAAACAAATCTATTATTAATCAATCTACTAGTATAATTCAATATTATCTTAAATTTTTAGTTAGTGTGCCAAATTTTATATGAGCTTTTGCTCTCAGAAGGGGTTGTCGTGAATTATAAAAAAAACTCTTCAGGTTAAATAGCACCAAGCTGAACACAATCATCCTTGGTGTGTTAATATAATAATAAGATGTGGCACAATAGACAATGAGACAACTCTCCACCAGACCCCAAAAGAAATACGACCTTCAACAATGAGCACAATCCATACCACACAGCAAGCTATGGTATAAAGACCCCGAAATGACAAATGTAAACAATCAAACGAGAAAACTAACGGCCTGAAGTCTATAATGTTAACTCCGATGGTCAACTTAAATTGTCATTGTTTTTATAAAAAGATCATAATAGTGTAATAAATAATTTTTAAAAATCGATACAAAATCCTGTTATATTAGATATATGCCGTTTTGGGAGACCTGATATGGAATTTCCTTTCAAAACATCATAACGAAAAATGTAGAAAATTAAACCACAAAAAAAAATATGTGAACGTCTATTTGCTACCAAACAATGATACTTTTATGACGGTCTTTAAGCGTTGGTGTAAATGACAAGAATTGTCATCAAACACGACAACAAATTAACAAAAACATACAATATTCTATAAAAAAAACCCAGGAAAATCGAAAATTGTGTGCAAACTGTATTAATAGAATTAGGATTAAACAAATTGTTTTGTCGAGGTAATTGCTGTACAAACTGGATCTATGCACTCATGAATTGAACAAAACTTTGAACGACTTTCATTCAGCTTGTGATTGCATCGACCCATTTTACACACCAATAACCTCCAAAAAATAATTTGTTTAATTCTTATATTAGTAACGTGTAAATTACATGCAGTTTGCAAGCTTTCTGCGATTTAAAGTAAGGTTGCTTTTGGATGATTCTTTTTGTAGTTTATGTACATTTTAACTTGATTATATATATGTACGTTTCGGCAATACATTTTATCGACAGGTTGTAGGTATTCCTATGGGCATCAATTGCGCCCCTTTAATAGCAGACTTGTTCTTGTACTGTTATGAATCACAGTGTATGACCAAACTCAGTAAAGAACCGTCTACGTTGCATTTAATTGATAAATTCAACAACACTTACCGTTATCTTGA